CCCCGGCGTGGCTCGGGGCACGCGGCTCCACCTGCGGAGAAAGCCGTGCGAGTGGAAAAACTTGAGCTGTTCTTGCTGATGGAGCAGTGCCCTGGCTCGCAGGTTCTGTGAGCACTAATGGGAAACGCTGCTGGAGCTCGGCTGCCTGGCACTTCCCGGAAAATTGGTGGTCTGTGAAGCTGCGGCGAGTGGGACACATCGTCTTGTGAGGAGTCGTGTCACGGTGTTCTTGCTTCCAAAGCTGATGGGAGAGTGTGTAGAAAGCATGAGCACTGGCAGGGTCAGTGCGCCTTACTGCTGGGAGAACTTTGACTGAAGCTGGGTCTTCTGTTCACATCCTCCATGGAGTTGATCCAGTTGTAAAAGTTAGTTCCTTGGATAATGTGAGGATGACATTAGTGAATCAGACCAAAGGGCCTTTGTTCTGTGATGATGGCTAAAAGTGGGTGCCCTGGTAAGAGAACAGACAGAGAGCAAGTTTATAGAAGTATGTACCCTGGATCATACTTTCAGTCTTGGGATTTCTGAATTCCAAGATTTAGAATTGCCATTGATGAAAAAAATCTGTTGCTCTTTAAGCCCAGGTGATAAATAGGTGCCACAGTGGCCTGTGAACCATTTCAGTGCACAGTTTCCTGTCATTAGAGAAGTATCAGTGCTGCTTTTGGGTAGTTTTGGCTTGATTTCCTATTTCCCCTCAACACCCCAGTGCTTATATTGCAAGAGTGCATGCATATTCCTTTGGTAATTGTCCTCTCCAGGGCAAATATGTAGCCAGTGGTCTCTTGATTTAGTTTGCAAACTTGCGGTCTGTTTGTTTCTTTTATGGAAGCTGTTTCACATCAGTGACTAGATGGTGTGAAAGTGAGAAATTGAATGTGTAATTCTCTTGGGGACTTCTATGATATTTTGGCTAGGATTAAGTAGCCAGATGTATTGCGGTACTTAGAATATGTATGAACTCATTGCAGCTTCTGTGTTTGAGTGCTAGCAGCCTGGGAGGACTTGTCCGCTCTGTGGTGTGGAAGGCACTTCTGTTGGCTTTCCTTCTGTGTGTGGATTAACTAACTAGGTGAATAAAGGAGCTGGCCTCTTGCAACCTCAGTCCCTGATTACAATTACTTAATCAGGTGTCTGATGTTTCTGTCTTAACAGTGGTTAAGAGTGCAGTGTGACAGGAGCAGCCAGTTGGAGTTTTGGACAGCTCTGAAATATAAAATCCTCCTCACCAGGCTAATTAAAAAATCAATTAGGCAAACTTTATTTAAGGAATGATTTAGGTCTATGTGATTGAGTTTTGGTGAAGTGCTTTTTCCTGCTTGTGAGCCCAGGTGGCGAGGAAGCCTCATAGTCTTTGTGAAGCAACCAGTTTCCTGCATAAACAACATTCTTGCATGTCTGTAATTTAGTAGAAATGAAAGCGGCCAAGTGTGGGAGTTACCAGATGTGGCAATATTTGACTTCTGCAATTGAGCCTCCAGGGAAAGTTCTTATTTAACCTCCCCTCCCCATTTTAACTAAGTGGGGCAGAAACTGGATCTCTTGTGAAGCACTGTAAGGAACAAGTTTCTCATTAAAGAGATTATTTTTTTCTGTGCCCCACATCACTTATCAAAGAGGCTTTTGACAGCTTTGGCAATTTTGAGAAGTGCTTAAGTCAATTTAGCAGCCAGACACCAGGAGCTAGAGCACAGGAGTCAGCTGACTGGAGGTCATGGTTCTGTATCTGAATTCTGGTCAGAATGTTTCCTGTTTGTTCTGCAACTGCTTTTACAGTCGCTGTGTGTTTTTTATGATCTTGGTCCAGAGAGTAAGTAGTGGTAAGAGTTGTGGCAGAGCCTGCCTTGAGGATGGAGGTGGATTGAATGGCTCAGTGAGACAGATGAGCTTGGTAGCTGTCTGGGGAGGTGATAGCTTGGCCTGGGCACGTGCTTGGGTGAGTGAACACAGGCACTGCTCCACAGAGGGCTCTGTTCCTGGTGATGCTGCACTGGGGGAAGTTTGCTGCTCATAGAGTACATTGGTGCAGCAGTTTTGGAGGCTGTTTCTGTTTGGGTTTGGTTTGTTTGAGACCAGTCCATTGGTTCAGCTCCCTCAACTGTTCCTTTTGTCTAATGAGAATGACCCCGTCCTCTTCTCTGACTGCACATGCCTTGAGCTGGCCCCTGGGCCATGGCCCAGGAATGGATGAACGTGAGCCACCTGGCAGAGAAGGTCCTGGCTGTGTGCTTGGTTTTTCTTTTCTTTTCTTTTTGCCATATTTTTTTGCCATATTTTTTTGCCATATTTTTTTGACTGACTTGCATGTGGCCCTATAGACCTGCAGAGATTGTGTGCTCTAAGCTGTGTTGCTCACCGTATGAATTGGAGAATCAAAAGACTTTTGTTCCATCACTTCTGCTCTGCCTTTTCCAGAAATATCCATGTGATGTGTTGTGATTGTTTTAGATGTGCTTGTGTAAAATACATTTCAAAAATTCCCCTTTTGTATTTTTAACACTTCTTCACTTCCTTTTTTGTTTCCTTTTATTTCTAGAATTCCTCTGAGAGCCACAATTGTGCCAAAAGCATCTTGACCTCAGACAGGCTGCAGATAGTTGTGACCCTTTCGGAGTTCTTCAATGAAACCTGGGAGGCAGCCAACTGCGCAAGTACGTGACTCATTCTGTAGCTCTCATGCTACTGTGGTGACGTAGCCCCTGAAATTTGCACAGATCAGAACTGTGTGTGTTTGTTTGAATGCAGCCAGTAGATAACACACAAATCCTGAGCTATAGCCGCTCCAAGAGTGTTTTCTTTTGCAAGGGCCAAAATCTGAGGGCAGTAGTCCGTCAGAAAACTACTGATGGTGCTTAGTACTTTCAGGAGAATTTCCTAGGATGTTGGCTTGCTTTCACGGTGCTGTTGCTGAACTCCTAAATTCCTCAAATAATGTTGTTTTTAAAGGTCTGGCTGATTAGAGCACCTGAAGTAGGGTAGGATGGATGGAAGCAGTAACATAGGGTTGAGCTCATGACTAGAAGAAAAGCCCCAGAGTCTCTGTCAACTCTGGTAAAAAGCTCAGCTCTTTTCTTAAAGAATAATAATTACACTGTGATTTCTACTATTGTGTTCATGGTCTAGCTGTTTCCTGGGTGCTCTCCATTTCATCTCTGCTGCTGGTGCTTCTGCTTCCACAAAATGGCTGTTACTGTTGCTGGGCAAAGCCAGATTTGTAGGCTGGGAAATAAAAGTAATGTCTTGTTTTATCTCAAAGTCCAAAGATAATTCAGTCCCCCTCTTCAGAAAGCTCTTGATGATAGTCTTCATCTTTCACTTAATCAAGGCCAATTAATTCTGAAATGTGTTCTTGATGGAAGCGTTAGGTCAGCAGGTCTGAGATATCAGTGGCAGGCAGATAAGGAAACTGCAGTGTTGACTAGACTCATCCTTTATAGCTGAGAGCTCTTTTTGCAGGAGTAGAGTGTCTGGGGCTTGCTGGCTGTGGAATTGTTAGAAATTAAAATATCCCAATGTTTTTCTTTCTTTTCAACAGATTGTTTAAAGAATAACAGTGAGGGATTATCAAATTCTACTGAAGAATTCCTGGATTTATTCAATAAATCTCTGACATGTTTTGAACATAATCTTCAGGTATCTTATGTTGTGTATTTAAGAGAAGCACTTAAATCCTCTAACTGCTACCGAAATTTTATTTATGCTGAATAAACTGCAGATGCAGACTAGGCAAATAAACTGCTGCTGAGTTTGTGAATTGTAGGCAGATAAATCCATGATCGGTAAAATGCAGTTGTTTACAGATTCAGTGCCTGAAATTAATTCTAATTGATACTCACCTTGACTTCATTTTGTCTGTAATTGCAATGCTACTTCACATCAAAATTTCTGAATTCACAATAGTTGATAATTACATAGTAAAAACCAGCATGTCTGCATGCTCTTGCTTTGTAGAATTGTTGTCTTTTTCATGTAGAAATTCAGGCTTTAAATAGCCTTTTGATAATATGGACTAGCTCAGGAGGACTAGGCACCTTTAATTCTTGTAGCATTTCTTTTGACTGTTAAAATTACTCATAGTTAGAGGTTGGCCATATTGCAAAGACAACTTCCTTGGTGAAAAGAATGTGGTAATTGTCCTCAGAGAAAATGCCCTATATAGCTTAAGAAACTGCATACTCCATTTCAGTCCGGAGTATGAGCTAGACAGATTTCAGGATCATCCAGAAGTAAAATAGGTTTACTTCAATGGGCATGGGATAATCTTTGGGGAAACTATCTGCTTCTTTATTAATGCTTTCTAAGAAATGTGCCTTTATAGGCCTTGGTCAGGAGCAGTGTGGACTGGCTTATTGAAAACTTCAAGTGATTAAACTAGAGCTTAACCCAGTGGTCAGTAGGTAGCTGGTAGAGCCATTACTGGGTTGAAATATCTTCAGAGATTGTAGTTTTCTTTTCAAGTGTCCTGTATTGTGTTCATGGAGTGCTGAAGGCCACAGATGGAAATGATTGCTTGGTATGGCATGATCTGTCTCTCTCAATGTCAGCAGTAACAAATTGAACCAATTTTTTTTTTTTTAATGCTTTAAACTGTAGTTCATTCAGAGTTTTATAACCCCAGGGGCAAGGCATGGATCTATCACCAAATAACTACACAGAAGTGTGCAAAAACTGCAACGAAACCTACACGAAATTGAATGACCTGTATAACCACCTGCAGAGGCTGAACAGGCAAGGTGGTGAATCTGCTCACTCTGCACACTTGTGTATTGACGTGGAAGATGCAGTAAGTGTTTGCTAATGCACTTTATTCATCTGAGCCATTTGTGCTTTTCATACTAGGATTTCTCTTTCCTTTGGGCAGGGGGCAGTGCCTTTGGCAGGCCGGTGCCCCGTGGTGGGAGGTGCTTGGTGGGGCTGTCCTGTGGGGTCCTGTCCTTGGGCAGTGCTACAGGAGTGGGACTGAAGCTGCTGATCTCCTGAACCCATCCCAGTTTGAGTAGCTGCACTTTCATTTCTTTTTACTGTGAAGGGGATGGATTTTAAAAAATAAATCTCTTAATCTGGCTTTTAATGTGAGGCTTTACTGCTATTGTTCTAGCTGGTGTGTTAATTGATTCCTTATTACAGCTGCTGTTTCTAGGCATCCTCAGCATTGTCAACATATGTTTGGAGAAAGCTTTGGTATATTGTGGGGTTAAAGTGGCTGGGCTGAAGGAATGCTCCTCAAAAGTATGGGATTAGCCCTGTCCTCACAGATTATCAGTGAGCTCTCTGAGAAACAGGCATGCAGCAGTGTCGACGTGTATCTGAGTACAGTTATGTTTTTGAAGCTTGTAAAAATTTTGGTGTGAAATCTTGGCTCCATCTAAATAGTTTGTTTCAACTTTTCCAGTTATTTGCTTGCTTTTGGGGGGAGATCTGTTCAAGTGCAATTTTCTGAGGTGGCACTTGAACACTTGCATGTCTTGAGGCCTGAGTGTTCGCATGTGCTTGCTTTCATGATTTTTCTTCTGTTTTCCTTTTAGATGAACATCACTCGGAAGCTTTGGAGCAGGACTTTCAACTGTTCTCTTCCCTGCAGTGATACAGTCCCAGTGATTGCAGTTTCATCCTTTATCCTCTTCCTACCTATTGTTTTTTATCTTAGTAGCTTCCTTCACTCGAAGCAGAAGAAACGGATACTCATTTTGCGTAAGTGGTGGTGTTGGCATTTCTCTGTTGGATTGGGAGGCGCCAGGGATTTGCTTGGCTCTTGTGGGAGAGGAGGCCCAGCCAGATCTGCCTGCAGCTGTGCTGACGGCGCTAATAGCAACTATTAGTCTGCTGCTGTCCCCTGAAGAAGGGTAGGAAAGAGCTTCAGCCATATCTTTTCATTAAAGTTTCTGGATGTGAACAGAAAGCTGTTTGCAAGTCTGTGTCAGATAAATAGAGGGAGTGGAGAGACTAGTTTTGTGGAATTCTTTGTGTTTAATTTTCATATAATTTTTCCCTTTCTAGCCAAGCGCATCCAGTCAAATGCCAATCTTGTGAACATCCAAGAAAAATACAGCTGAGCTGCAAAACAAAACCTGAGAGCTGCTGCTGGTATACAGTGGGTACAATTGTGTTGGAATGAGGCCGGCACAAAAGAGGAGTTAATTATGGTTTAGTGTAATGATACAGAGCAACACAAGTTAAACAAAATGCTGTCTGACTTCTAAGCAAGGATATTAACAAACATGACAAGGCAGGGCTGTGTGACACTGTATGGACTCTGGTTTTGAAAAATCTGTGGTTTTTTTCTTTCAGTCTTGGGCTGAAGCTGTGTTTTTGTGTTCCTAAGCTTTTGTACTTCACATTGGTAGAATAGCTACACTTTCCTTGCATGGTATTTTCCTATATTTGTTCCACAAAAACCTGAGATTTTGAATCTTTTTGAGGTGATTTTGATAGACAGACAAAATTTCAAATAATGTTTTATGTTTCTGCTTAAGACATTACTTTTAATTCCACATAATATTCAGACTTGGGATGGAAGGAACCCTTCAGAAAAGTTCCTATCTTTCCTGTACCACTGAAAAGTCATGCTGCTGGCATCTGTTAAAAAAGAGGCATGAAATATGCAGAGAAAGTGGCAATATATAGGATCTAAAACGGCAACAGAAGCAGCACAACTGCCAGTGCTGGACTTGAATAGTAATTATTGATGGCTACAGTATTCTGTTTTCTCTGGAACTGGTGGCATATTTAGTCTTTTGCACACTTTAACCACTAAAATTGTTGCTTTTCAAATCTTACATTTTCAGAAGGTAATTTTACATACCTGCTTGGGTAACAAGGTTTCACTCTCTGTTCATTATGCCATTTCCTTTCCTTTTTCATTCTAATGTTTTAGTGGTTTTTTTGTTTTGTAGAGGAGAAGTGAGGTAAAGTCAAGTCACTGGAAATGCTGGATTTACTGGTCTAGAGCTTGCTATGGCTTAATACAGAGGTGTTTACAGGAACTTTGTCAGGTAAAAGTTGTTTTTTCTGGGTAATCTGTTTTAGCAGTGAGTGAACCAGTGGGTCCTCTTACTCAAAAACTGTTGTGAATAACATGAATACACTGTATTGGGAATTGGTGACTTTCAGGAAATAGTTTGAAAATATTACTCCCATAAAATAGATGGATGTAAACAAATTGAACTTGGAGAACTCCAAAGTGGATGGAGAAATTCGTGCAATAACTGCAGGGATGGGTGGTGCTGCTGTCAGCACCAAATTGTGGGCACAATTTGATGGCTGCAGCAATCGTGGCTGTTCAGTTTGTTTATTGTATTTCTGATTTGGGAGAGTGGTCGTGTTTAAATTATTTATAGCTGTACCTGAGGTTAATGAATGCCAGAGCCTTTGATCCAATTTTTCAATGTATTTTCTAACCTGGATGTAAAAAAGAATGGTCATTACAGCAAAAAAAAAAAAAAAAAATTATTTTGGAATCTGTGTCTGATGTCTGTCAAAATGTCCCACGAAGTAGTTGTATTTGATTTGCTTTGGAGCCTATAATTTTGAATTTTTCCTTTGCACTAAGGCTCAAATAAATATATAACAGTGTAACCAAAGCTCTTCAAATAATTTGTTTTATTTTTTTAACTTTGTTCTTTTTCTTCTGTTAGGACATGCTGTTGGTGTTGAAGTCAAGTTTAACAAGTTTATTAAGTAGTACATTTAATAATAAGTAAAATACTGTGTTAGTAACTGGTCCCACCAATATGATTGCCTTTTTGTGTTTTATCAGAAAGCAGTATCTCTTCGTTTGTGTAACATGTGAACTACTATCAGCAGTCACTTTGTTTTAGGTAGTTTACAGCATCGATATAAAACTGTTTCTCTTGTGTAACAGTACCTTCATTTGGCTGGGAGAGGCATGCTGCCTTTTAAGAAAAAAAAAAAGTATTTTTTATATCTATTATTCTTAAACTTCAACTTTGTGGTACTTACTCAGCTGCCTGCTGTAATAGCATTACATTGATTTGGGACATCATATGATTGAGAGCTGTTCAAAGGAATCTTTCATTCGTGCAGATAAAGCCAGTTTGTATGTGCAGCATTTCAGAATGACAGCTTTATACTGTAAGCGGTGGCTTTTTGAGCACATTCATGTTAAGTAGGTCTGAAAGTCATTACTTTTGGATATGGTGGTTAAGCACTTTAAAAAAAAATCAGCTTTTCTTATTTTCCTGGCTCCTAAGCCAAACGGAAATACTCATGTGACTT